GCAGTGCTGGGGCAGCTCTGGAGTCCTCAGCACAGCAGAGCCAGGGAGCTGCTGGAGCGGGGCCAGAGGAGCCCCAGCAATGCCCCGAGGGGGGAACCCCTCTGCTGGGAGCCCAGCAGGAGAGAGTTGGGCTGGGGCAGCCCCAGAGGAGAAGGCTCCAGCTGGGGAGAGCTGCTGGGGGTGTTTAGTACTTAGAAGAAAATTGGGGATGGGCTTTTCATCAGGGGCTGTTGGGACAGGACAAGGGGGGTGGGTTTAAACTAAAAGAGGGAGATTGAGACTAGAGAGAAGGGAGAAATTTTGGACCCTGAGGGTGGTTAGCCCCTGGCCCAGGTTGTCCCAAGAGGGGGTGGCTGCTCCATCCCTGGAACCATCCCAGGTGAGGGTGAGGGCTCTGAGCACCCTGCTCTGGTTGGGGCTGTCCCTGCTCCCTGCAGGCTGAGATGAGCTTTGAAGGTCCTTTCCCCCCCCAGAGCATTTTGGGGGTGGGCTGTCCTGTTGCTCAGCATTAACCATCTCCCCTCTGCCCCCTCAGGTCACCGAGATCGGCAGAGACGTCCTGGGGCTGCGGATCAGCCCCCTGCAGTTCCGTTAGGGGGCAGCTGGGGGAGGAGACCTCCTGCCACAGCACAAACCTCCCCTCCACCTCCCCCTTCCTGCTCCTGGTCCCTCCTCCCTGGCCTAGCTGTGTCCTACCTGCTCCTACCTGCTTCCAGGCAGTACCAACCTGCTCCTCTGTCCCCACCCCCGGCTGCTGGGAGGTTTCTCGGTGCCATTGTCTCACCCTCCAAGCTCTGGTGGTGTTTTGTTTTGGTGTCCTAGCAACGTTGCTCAGAATGATCCATTTCGGCAGCAAAGTGAATTGACCAACTTGATCTTCCTGTTTTGGAGCTCCCTGGGGCTCACAGAGGCAGAAATGAGATTAAGTTGCCTCTTTTCACCTTTTTTTCTTCGTGCTTTTAAGCTGCCAGACCTGGAGGTAGTTTGGAAGCTTTGAAAGTTTGGAAGCTTTGAAAGTTGGGAAGCTTTGAAGCTTTGAAGTTTTGAAAGTTTGGAAGTTTGGAAGCTTTAAAGTTTTGGAAGTTTGGAAGCTTTTTTTGAAGTTTTGAAAGTTCTGAAGCTTTCCAGAAAATGGAGCCTGGGGTCCTGAGATCATTTGTCACTCTCCTGCTAATTGTTAGTGTGTTGTTGCTGTTGCCAGTGCTCAGATTGTCTTTATTGGTTCCAGATCTTGTCTTTGCATTCACCTCGTGTGGTTGTACCCTTTGGTATTCCTGTACCTTTGCCCCTGGGGCTTAATGGCCTGGAGGATCTTCTCCAAGGGCCTGGAGGATCTTCTCCAAGGGCCTGGAGGATCTTCTCCAAGGGCCTGGAGGATCTTCTCCAAGGGCCTGGAGGGTCTTCCCCAAGGGCCTGGAGGATCTTCTCCAAGGGCCTGGAGGATCCTCTCCAAAGTTCCATGCAGTGACAATAGTGTGTCGTTGCTGTTGCCAGTGCTCAGATTGTCTTTATTGGTTCCAGATCTTGTCTTTGCATTCACCTCGTGTGGTTGTACCCTTTGGTATTCCTGTACCTTTGCCCCTGGGGCTTAATGGGCTGGAGGATCATCCCCAAGGGCCTGGAGGATCTTCTCCAAGGGCCTGGAGGATCCTCTCCAAAGTTCCATGCAGTGACAAAGCTGAGAACATGGATGTTCTCCCAGGGTGGAGAAGCAGAGGGCAGGACCTAGAGCTCAGCCTCTGAGGCTCAGCTGCTTTCCTTGTGCTTTCTCCCCTCTCGTGATGCTGAAATAAAACCAGGCTTTGCTCTAGGAGTTAAAACCTTTTATTTTTTACAAAGAACTGAGGAATGGGGGTGTCCCCTTCTTAAGGGCACTGCTTCCAGCTTGACATCCGTCTTGTTCCAGGAATGTTCACAGTAGTGGAGGAGCCCCAGCAGCCAGGGCTAGGGGGAAGGGGCTTTGACCACCAGGGTGTTGTGGCAGGCCAGGGCAATGCCCCCGATGAGGTTCAGGAACTCCTGGAAGTCCAGCTGCCCATCGCTGTTCAGATCGAGCTTCTTCATCATCCTGTCCACGACACCCGGGTCCTTCTGGTTCTGCAGACCAGAGAGATGGGAACCAGGGGGTTAGTGAGTTGGTTTTGGCTGGTAGAGGCCTTTCAGATGGTGGAGTCCAACACCCCCCAGCACGGGCAGGTCCCCACTGCCCCGTGTCCCTCACCCCACATCTCCACGGCTTGGGAACCCCTCCAGGGGTGGGGACTCCACCACTGCCCTGGGCAGCCTGGCACAGCCCTGGGCAACCCTCCAGGGCAAGAAATTGTTCCTCAGGGGCAACTGAAACCTCCCCTGGGGCAACTTGAGGCTGGTTCCTCTCATCCTGTCCCTTGTTCCTTGGGAGAAGAGCCTGACCCCCACCTGGCTCCAACCTCTGAGGGAGCTGAGAGTTGTTCCCTGAGCCTCCTTTGCTCCAGGCTCAGCGCCCCCAGCTCCCTCAGCTGCTCCTCCCCACACTTGCCCTCTAGACCCTTCCCCAGCTTCCTTGTCCTTTGGCACACTCCAAACAGATGTTTCCTTGAGGCAGAGGTGGCCCTCTCTGAACCCCTCTGGCCCTGCTCTGGAGCTGCAGCTGTGGTGGGTCAGAGGGATCCAGAATCCCCTCGGGGCAACTTCTCAGCCCCCTCTTGTGCTCGAGCTCTTCCCATCACCCGCTCCAGGCTGGTTGCGTGGGCAGGAGCTCTAATTGCCACCCCAGCAGCCAAAGCACACGCTTGGAGGAGACTTTTTTTGGCCTGGATTTTGCTCACCTTGGTGAAGGCAGCCAGCTCGGTGTTCATGAAGGCCAGGAACTCCCTCTTGGAGAGGGTGCAGTTGTCCCCCTCCCGCCCGGCGTAGCGCTGGAAGACGGCGAGCAGGGACTCGATGCAGCGCTCGGTCTCCGTGGGCTGCAGGGACAACTCTGGGTGAGTCTTTTTTTTTGGGGGAGCTCTGGGTTCTGAGAACGACCCGACCCCTTCTAGAGGAAGGTTGGGCCGAGAGGGACCTCCTGAAGTTGGGGAGTCTCTTCGTGCCCGACCTGCCCAGCTGCATTTTTCCTCACTGTGGATTTCTCCAGTGCCAAGGGTGCAGGAAGGACCCAGAGGATTGGGGAGTGGCTCGTGGAAAATCCCCCGGGGAGATGTCAGCTCCCATCCCAGGAGTGGCCTGGGCCCTGGGCTCGTTTTTTTCCACACTCTCCAGCAGGGACCCGGCTGGAGCTTAAACCCTCGTCC